TAGTTGGTGTCTGCAATGTTTCTTACGAGGTCAAAAGCTACAACAAACACTGCAGGGTAGGATTCAGGTTGTGATTAAGGCCTTCAGTTTTAAATGCCCTCTTGAATGTGTGGCCTATGGTGTCTAGCCTGCCCTAACTAAAGGAAGATGCAGTCTTATGGAGGGGAAGCCTGGAAACAAAACAGAGATTTGGCATGTCCTACACCTGTGGCTGGTTAAGTCAGCCACTCTTGAGCTCAGGAAATTTTAAATTCCACCCTTACTTGTGAAATTCACTGTTTCTAACTTGTAGCCTTACTCTATTGAGCCCCTCCCTACATAGAAGATCAGCGCAACACAAAATTAACAGTACTGTCTGTGAGTGATTTTATTTATCATGATTGTTCCAAAAGTATAATAGCATCAGAAATGTGATTGTTCCACTACAAGAGATTTTTATATTAAATTAGAAATTACTGTACAATTTGATGGAGGAAATGCTATTTTCTAAGAATGATATTGTATTGGCAAAAAGTTGCATGAAAGCCTCTTCCATCCCCTAGAGAACTGGTGCTTTGGATCTACTAGAAAAAAAAAGTGAATAAACTGGATTCTAATACACATACATGAATTTATAAAAATGTGTAAAGAAATAAACCACCTTCTGAAAATCAAATAATGCTAAAACAAATCTGCTCTTTTTATAATGCTCGTCAACTTTTTTCTTTTTTGTCCCAGTTTTATGCAAAGAACTTAAATATCTTTAGGACAGCACACTCAGTGTTATAAAATGATGAACAACATGTTCATTGTTTCTTTCAATCAGCCATTGATACATCTTGTTACCAAGGTGGGTGGATATAAATAAAATACAGCACTACAACTAAGTGAGGTACACTGAGTTCTGTGCACCTGTGCTTATACATTTGAAGCAATAAAACTATCTCACCTTCATTGGATCACCTAAAAGTAATTTTATCTGATTATGACACATGACTTTATCAATCACAACAGAGGCAAACATTTTCTGCAAAAACCTTTATCTAACTAAAATTTTTTTGTGCACTTTAAAAATCTGCAGCTCCTGCGACATATTGGTTGTCTGCCACAACATGAGATTTATTTCCTAACTATTAGGGGGAAAAAAACCCTCTCCTACCTGACTTAAATTACTCAGACAGTGAATTAATTTATTCTCCCATCCATTCATTTTCACACTAGGATGTGCATTTATATAAACATGGCCTTTGAGATGGTAAAATGAAACAGAGAATATATTTTCCTTAATGGAGAAAAAAGAGGAAAAATGACTGGAAAAGGTTTTTGCTGCTTCTGCTAAAATTGCTCCAAGGTAAATAATATTAGGTTTTGATCACTGTAAATAAACACATATTTTTTTCATTGATACTTGGAAGTTTTCCTGATGAAGAATAGTTTGTGAGGAAAGAATAAGCTTTTTGGAAGAAGTTAACTTTTAAATTAGTGTTAGCCTTGGGCAATGATTAAAGAAATTATCGGTACTCTTAAAATACCATCATTCCCCTTTGAGACAAATTAGACATTTTTTTTTTATTTATTTTCAGTTAATGGTCATGCAGAGAACAGTGAAGTAAAGCAGAAATTGCTTTCCATGTGAATTCTGTGTGGTACTTCTGTCTGAAAAGCATTCTAAGCTCTTGCAGTACAGTTCAAAGAACATTCTGGTGTTTGAGAAAGTCAGAAAACATCAGGATGACATCACTTAACATAGAGAATTTTGTTATGATTTTACTAAAGCTTCTTTTGGAGAGCTTTAAATTTCAAAAGAAGTTTTAGTAATAAAAATATATCTGGTATCCTTTTAGTTTAATCTTATTTCTGTAGAGACAAATCAATATGGAGCAGAGACTTGCATAAAGAAGTTTCCTATTTGACAATGTAGTTGTTTATGATACTCTGTAAATGCTGACATGATCTGTTACACTTACATGCACCAATTGGAATGGATATTTATTTCTCCTTAAAAATACTCATGCATACCCTTGGGATGCACTCAGGAACTTTCAGGATTTTGGTTTCCTTTGGCAGGCCTGGAGTCTATGACTTTAACTATAACACATTGCACTTACTAGCAGACACTGAGGTACCATAATTCACTTTCATTTTTAGTCACTATTTGGACCTGACCTGTACTTTTCAGTTAAGAGCTAATTTCAATTAAATTTGCTTTTCACTTTACAGAAACATATCTAATATTACTTAGCTTGACTGCACTTTAATTCCATTATGTCACATTTCCAGTTTTTATATTTGCTCCTCTGTATGGATCTAGAAAATAAAATATAAAAACAATTCCAACCCCATATACTCCAGAGTGCAGTTACATTTAATATCTTCTTATTTTCAGTAAAATATGCAAAATTTAGGAAATTCAAATCACTGGTTAAACTGTACTGAGTTTACAAATTTCAAAGACTATCTGGGAGATGGCTGTTTATTTTTCTTGGAGTAAAATGTTTAACAAGAAGGCTTCATTATAAGGGTGCAGAAAAGCACAAGGCCATTATTTTGAGAAGAATAAGAAAGTAGATAATATTCAGTAAATATTAATTATCCAGTGTATCTTAAGATACTAGATGTGAAAAGGTGCCATACAGATGGTTAAATGCAATGGCATTAAATTCCAGATGGCAGGACTGCAATGCTCCTTAGGCCCAAGGACAACTCTTAATTATTATTTGATCACAGCTTCACAGACACACTTGCAGACCATTTACATTTGACAGTGATAAAGAGAAGATTTAGCACATGGAATGTCAGTAGTTGAGTGAAGCATCACATCTAGCTCAAACACTAATGAGAAATGCCCATAGTTACATGACTTTTGGAACAGACTGACCTAAAATGTCTCTGTCTTTTAAAAAGAATTTCATAATGAAGTTCTTAATAAACTTCCACTAGAGCTGCTCTGCCATCACAATTGCATTGTCCTACAGGCTGGGCTTGGACTGAGTCACAGTGCTATGTCATATTGCAACAATATATTCTCATGTTCACTTTAGTAGCATGAGGTCATACTTAAATCATAAAACTGAATTTAAACTAAACAAAATAACCCATTAATAAATACCAGCAGGGAAGTTTCATGTTATAAATCATGAATAAATAAATTTTATACGTTTTGTCAACTTGTCCTAGAAGTTAGTCAAAAGCACTTACTGAGATTTGAGTCACAGAATCATTGAATGGTTTGGGCTGGAAGGAACTTTTAAGATCATCTAGTTCCAGCCCCACTGGCATGGGCAGGGATGTCACTCACTAGATCAGGTTGCTCAGTTCCCCATCCAGCCTGGCCTTGAACACTTCCAGGTGTGAAGGAAGCAGATTCATTACCAAAACCACTGTAATTTTAAAAACCAAGGTATGTATTCCTGGCAATTTTCCCAAATTATTTTTGAGCTAGATGAGATATTAGAAACAGTTTATATGTAAAGAATTTGTTCAGTATTTCTGTTACAGAGAACAGAATCACCAAAATGCCCGCAGATTCTTCAGTAGCCCACTCCTTTTTAAAAATGTTTTTATCAGGAAGTGGGTCATGCCTGGGGCACATGCTGAAATAATATACGTAGTGCAGAGGGGATAATTAATAATATTTCCAATTAGATTTTAAAATGCCTTTTTTGCTGCTAATCCTAGAATCCACTTTTACTTGATGTCTTAAGGCTTTGCTCTGACATGTTGCAAAAGTGGGCCAGGACCCAAATGTTGGATCCAAACATGTGGAAATTTTGGATTCAGAACTACTGCATAGTTAGGAATAGGCCCTTCTTTCCCTCATAAACTGAAGTGAAACAGCTGTGAAGAAACCCTGAGCTTCGATGAATAAGATAGAGATGTCTGATTTAATTGAATTGGGCTCTGTATCTAGTCTATATTTAAATTCTAATATTGATCCAACATCAATACACATCCAAATTTAACTATTTTTTTTAACTCTTGAATTAATGGCACTGTAAAATGTTTGTTGGCTTTTTCATTTGAAATTTAATAACTTGGTATTCAGTGATACTTAGTGGTATCACAGGTACTTAATAGTGGGTCTAACTAAAGAAGTAAAAGAAAAGTAGCACTGAATCTTCATTTTGGAAATTGAGGTCTTTCAAGTTCTTTCTGTTTTGATGTTATTTTGACATAATTATAAAAATTTATGATTGTTACCATATAGAAGCGGTTAGGGAAACTGCTAGTACTTCATGTGGTTTCATGAATATTTACTTGGCATAGGACTAACTATTAAGTACATATATTTTCATCTTATGTGAAAGATTTGTGATGTGATTGCAAAAAATTCTTCTAGTTTCAGTAAGAACTTTATACACTGTACATATAGCATAAAGCTCTCTTTTTCCAGTAATTAAAACTTATTGATCTGTCTTGTTTTATTATTCGAAGTTTTGATATTCTGGACTTTTGCCGCAATACTTTGGGTTCTGTAAAATTTTTAAAAGGTTTTAAGTTGGCAGATAATATTATATTTCCAAAATAATTTTCAGTATAAAATGAAGCAAATGGACTATGTATTGCTGCTAGACCAGAGATAAACTAAGGAAGGTGGAGTTTGAAATTGAGATCTTTTAAGGTTTAAGTTTGAAGCAGGGATAGATATGGATTCTCATGAAATGTGACTATCATATAATTGTTTATAAGTACAGCATTTTTTTGCTTCTTAGATTATAACAGCAAAAATAAACATATCTTTCTCTTTAATGTGAAGAATTTACTCTAGAACTCTAGAGTTGTAAATATTTGTTCTTTTATTGAGATAGAAAGAAGAATAATTTTGAAAAAGACCTGTAAAATATAAGAAAGTTGTCTCTATGATTTTTCTTTTTTCTTTTTACATACTGTTTTTCTTATATGAAAAACATATAAGAAAATATGTTTTCTTATATGTTTTTATAAGATATATGTTTCTTATATCATCACCTGCAGATTCAGGTGAGTGAAGATTACCTTTCCACCTTGCTGTTCTGTTTCAGATGCCAGCATTCAATCAAGACATGAAATTTACTTTCCGAGTCAGAGACCTGTGAAATTTGAATCAAATTCTTCAAAAGTGTCATTCTGGGTAAATATTCATGAAACATACCTGAAGAAACTATCGTCACTCCTTCAGGAGTTTCATCAGCAAGAGAAGGTAGATATCTGAGGAGTGTGCTCTTGGTCATACTATCTCTTCATTTGCCAAGGAAATAAATTCTACTCTTCTCACTTTTAATGTATTGATTCTTTTTCAAAATAATGCAAATTGTGAGAAAGGGTGTTCTCTTTTTCCAGGAGATAGTTCTGTTTGTTGGAGAACCCTCGGCCAATGAAAAAGAAGAAAAAATGTCAGATCATTATTTTTTATGAAGTATGCAAGAACACATGCATTTCTTAATGAATACTTGTGAAAATGAAATTTAAATGGTACTCTAATTTTTGCTCTTCTAATCAATTTATAATGAAATCTATTTACAATTTATGAAGTGAATACAACACTCTCTAAACGTAGTTTCCAGTCTGACATTTATAAAAAGCTTGAAGGAGTTAGGCTAGGTTTTTTTACCATTGTTGTACTTGTTTAAATTGTAAAAGTAATGGAGTGATGTCAGAGGTAAGTTCTGTGATCATTGCATCCATTAAAATAATAAGTGCATGGAAAGGGTGGTTGACATTCTAACCACAGTCTCACAGTTTATACAGGACCCATGGTAAAGACACTGAGTCTGTGTACAGTGTACCAGGTAGGAACCCATCTGCAACGGCTTTGGAGCATGAGCTTAACCATCAGCAGTAATTTAGTGCCTGAATTTAAGAGAAATTCGTTCACAAAAGAGAGAAGAAAACAGATCTTCCGTATTTTGCTGCACTTTCATGAAAATTCAGATTTTTTTAGGGGTCTGGGATTTCTAATGAAGACAACATGAGTTTCCTAATTAGATAAAAATGAATGCAGCATAGATGTGTTCTGTCTTTCACTAAAATAAAATATTGTAAAATAGACTTAAAAAGTGGATTAAAAAATTTGGCGTAGTCCTCAAGGCAAAATTTGATCCATAGCTATGAGAAAATGAAAAATATCTTTGTTTTTGCATGTTAACTTGTGTTAACTGCACCATTTGGCTCTGCTAGCTGGTCTCAAAGTTCCTAATACACAGAAATTGCTTTGTCTTTAGTCACTGCTATACCATAGCTGGCAAAAGAGAATTGAACTGCAGTCACCTCAACACTGACCCATTGTTCAAACAACAATGCTTAACTATTGCCAGAACATGTTATAAAACTATGTGTATGTTTTATTAGCAGCACTGCATATGTTGTGTTATCTGAGGAATATGAAGCATAGAATTTAGATGGGGTGTATTAGCAGTCCATTCCACAATCAGTGAATAGCTGTTTCACACACAATTTCAAATGACTTTCAAATTTCAAATTAATTTGGTCTTTAATTTCTCGGCATATGCTACATACTTGGCAATAACAGATAGGCATTTGCAAAATCAAAATGCATCTATATTTCTCCCTGCAGCACCATCTCTACCTTCTTGCTGGGGCTTGGTTTTGCTGTATTTCCCATCATGACATCGTATTTTTGGGGACACATGATGTAATGAAGGGCATCTGCTTGTTGAAATCCATAATTTAATAATAAAGTGACAATTTTACCTAAGCTTAAGGCTACAGAGCTTACTTCTTGCATGCTAGCACGCTTTATGTCACACATTGCCAAAGAATGAGACGTGTCTGCTCTTCTCAAGGCACATGCTGGACTGGATGTGCTATGGTGCACTGGCACATGTAGGAAAGAAGGCATCTGAGCTTTTGTTTGCAAAATATCTGTCTGCTACTGGTTGGTGATCATTCATTTGTTGTTAATAGCAGATCTGGGGCTGGAGCATTTGATGTAGGAAATGCTGAAGAAAGAACTATTTTTTCTGTCTGAGAAAGAGAAGGCCAAGAGAGGATCTTATTGCTGACTTCAGTTACCTAATGTCTGGTTATAAAGAAGTTGAGACCATACTCTGTTGCAAGTGCACAGCAAAAGGACAAGAAGCAATGGACAAAACAGAAATTCCAAACAGTTATTAGGATTTTTTTTTTAATATTTTTTAATAATGGGAGTCATCAAACACTGAATCAAACTGCACTGAGACTGAGTAATTTCCATCCTTTGAGACTCTGAGAACTGGAAAAGCTGGTCTAACTTTGAGCCTGGCCTTGTTTTGGGCTGGGGGCTGAATCAGAGATCCCTCCCTACTTAAATGCAATCTGATTCAATGAAAATCAATGTATGGATTTTAAGTGAGATGGAAAGCTGATTTTGCCTAACAGTATTTTCTTGTTTTCATTGCTGTGGTCACAATAGAGTAGACAAAGTGGAGGTCATTGGTTATACTTGCCACGTAAATTTTCAGTACTGTGGGCTGGTATCCAAACTGAAAGGAAAAAATTATTCAGCAATGAGTCTGAACCTTTGGCAACCGCTCTATAATCCATTTGTTGGCTGTTTATTTTTCTGTAGATGTAGATTATTTTGCCTGAGCCAAAGATCTTAGAAATTAATGTGTAAATATGTGTTTTAACCTGTTTGCCAATAAAGAGACAAAGTAAAATGAAATAAATGCATCAGGGAGAGATTCATTGATGTGAGTGGCCTCATCTTCAAAACAGCCAGAAAACATCAGAAATAACCCTAATGTACTTTAATAGAGTGAAAAAGATTTAAATTTTGGGCTGTTTCTCTCAATTAGACCTGATTTTTCTGTGACTTTTTTTTTTCAGGTGTTTCACTGCAGAAGTTTTCTTGTGAACAGAAGCTATATGAGATGACCCTGGAAAGTGACCCACGGAATGGTACAGTCTACTTTCCTGTATGCTTTTATTAGTTTTCACCCACTTCCCTTTTCTGCTTCTGTGTGCAGAAGCCTAACAGCAGGAAAATGTTATTTTCCCAGGAAAATGCTTGATGTTGATGAAGAAAGAAAACATTGACCTCACCATCTGAATTCCTATTAATGGTATCTGTGTATCTTGTATGTTTTCTCCAGTGCTCAGGAGAATTGAGCCTTTCAGATACAGATGTGCATAGAAGCAGTTTAGCGAGATGGTTGTGGAGAGATATTAACAGCTGCAGAGTTCAGAAGTGCAAACAGATTTGGAATGGTGTAGTAGACACCCGGTACTTCCTGAAGTCAGTGGGTCAAGGTCTCTCCTGTTTTGCATTGATATCTGTTGTCCAACTATTTGGAATGGAGGTGATCTGTTTGCATTCATCCTTACTAGATTTTTGAAAAAACAACAGATCATCACCTCCCTGTGCATGCAATTACTGAATACCACACAGGAAGAAACCGGGCAATTAGTCAGTGTGGGATTTTTTTTCCCAGTGCAAGATGCAATTTAAATGGTTTATAGTATTATATAGTAAATACAGTATTCTGGAACTTGTACTATGTGTTTATGGATATATGAGGATCCACAATGTAAGGGAAGACAGAAGAGGAAACTAATGTCTCTATTCAGAGACATACTAATGTAACACTGAGCCATAGAGGAAGGGAATTTGATGTTGTATCATAGCTACAGCTGTGGAAGTTCATCCCCAGAACATGGCTGTGAATGTTCTGTGCTCACAGGTCAGCTAGGAATGTGACAGCAGCATCCTAGAAGGATTTGGGTCTTCTGAGCTGGGAACAGAGGAAGAAACTAGTCCTGCCTGCCACTGCCATATGCATTTCAGTAAGATGGAAGATCCATCTCATTTTCCTTTATCTCTGGATGACTCGCACAAAAATAACAAAGGATCCTGAGGTCTCTGTAATTTTCTTCCTCTCATCCTGAGTGGGGGCTGATCAGTGCAGAGATATGGAGACTGACAGTTTCCTTCTGTTTCTATGGCATAATAATAACTCAGGATTTGGATTTAGATGAAGGTTATGTCCAAGGTGCTCAGGAAAGAGTGGCTTTTGCTTGGACACTCTCAAATAACAGACCTTTGGTGACTGTGATAATTTTTTATGCAGTATGAACTGGGTCTATAGCACTCAGAAAAATCCCTGGAAATACTTCCAGGACTGGATGGAAAAACTCAAGATTAAAGGACCCCTCACATCTGTTCTCTGTCACCACCTTAAATTCAAGCTATGACAGTAATGAATGAAAGTCCACGTGCTGTTTGGCCTGTGCAAAGACTCTGTAGTCATTTGTGTACATCACAAATGGTGTTAATTGGCAGCTGTGTCAACAGCCTCTTTGAAGGAATTGGGAGTTCATCAGGCACATGGGAAGAGTCGGACTTTCCCTGGTGAAAAAATACCCCTTTCATATGAGGCACTTAAGGCAGAATAGCATGGGGAAACAGCATGGGGAAACTTGCCAAGATCCTGCCTGGTTTCTGGCCATGACAGTAGTTGCGTTGCTGAGGGCCGCTCTGGTTTCGGCGGCAGTCACGCAGCATCCCTGCCTCCAAAGCACCCATGGTGACAAGGGCTGTGCTCCCTCAGCAGACACTTGCAGACACTTGCAGAGCTTGCCTATCTCCAGACAAAAGCAGAACTACCTGTCTGAAACCAAAAGAAAAAAACCTTTAAAACTGTTACTGTAAGGCATTTTCTCTTTTCCTGTCCTCATTTCTGATGCTTTTTAATTGTTGCACACTTATTTTGTGAAAGCAACTGCAGTCCTTGAAAAAACTCTTATGTGACACACTTGAACTAATTTAATTGAACAGTTCTGTATTTTAAGTTTATTTCTGTAAGCCATACACCTATGAGCTCTTCACTAAGTGTTTGCAGGTAAAAATGCACTGGTGAGAGGTATTGATTTATCTCTTTATTTCTCCCTTCTAAGTCCTTTACTTCCCAATTGCATTTCTTTCAGTCATTCAACATAAAAGCACCTACATTCCTTCTGTGCTATGTAGAGGGCCCTTTACAGCACTGGAACTTACCAAGGAGTGTGTTTATTCAAAGTTTTGGTGCACTGAAGCCAATTATGTCAGTATAATCTACCTGTATTTGTGAATCACCACGTTCCTAAGTTGTTTGTTGAATACCATAATCATAGATTTTGCTAAGGGAAAAGGAAGACAGTGGCTGTACTGAAGACACAATACACAACTCATAGTATTACAGCAGGAGGGTTCTGCATAAATTGAGTAATTTTTCCAACACATTCCACTGAATTTCTATGAGTTCTAAAGAAAATTGTTTTCATTTTTTTGCCTACATGCTGGCCCATAAATTTATCTCTTGGTTTAACTCCATCTGACAACTAAGCCCTACATAGATGCTCACTCACTCTCCCCTGGTGGGATGGGGGAGAGAATTGTAAGGGTAAAAGGGAGAAAACTCATCGGTTGAGGTAAAAAGACTTTAACAGGTGATGATCCATATAGGATCCAGTCCTGATGCTGAGAGATGAACTAGATGATCTCCACAAATTCCTTTTGACGTGATTCTCCGATCTGTGGACAGTAAGAAGGCTGCCATTGTGAGAAATAAAAATCCATAGATGATTTGTCCCACCTACGAAGCGTCTTGTAGAATAGTTAAACTGTGTCTCTCTTGCCTCATAAAAAAATTACTTCATTGCAAACTCATACAAGCAGGAGAGAAAGCTATCAAACCACTGTTTTAGTGTGGGATCACTTTAGCAGTCTGATTTGCTGTGCATTATACCTACAATTATTTTTCAATAAAAAGCTAGTATGATTAATTTACCACAAGAATAATTCCTTTAATTCTCTCCATTAAACACAAATGAAAAAACAAAACTCTGACACTGTGTAGGTCTCTGTCTGCTGGAATTTTCTTTGGTAAGTGGAAAATTCCACTGTAAAAATCAGACAAATTTAGTATTACCATTTTCTTTATGCTTGTATGTTATTTTGATTTATATTTCCTTTAAGCAAACACTATTCTTGAGACTGACAGTTCGAGGAGCACCAATAGGACAGGATAGCACTGGCCACCATGTCTCAGCAACTGATCTAAAATTTAGGTTTGTGGAGGAAAACAAGTAACTTTAATAAGAAATATCTTGGTTTCCTGGAAGCTTGTACATGGGAAGAAGCTAGGTCTAAGGAAGTCCAAGGGTTACACAGTGGCCACAGAAATTAGTTCATAGTTTTTTCTTTCTTTTCCCAACTCAAACTAAAATTCCAGCCAAGAACTTTGAAAGTGATTTTTGTGTCTTAATTTCCCAAAGTTCAGTGTCTTGTATCTTAAAGAAACTTGATTTTAGAAATGGAATAGCCTGTTTTCTAACAATGAAAATCCTTATGCCTAAATAGTGATGACCCAAATTAGGATATTTAGAGACAGTAGTCATTTCAGAAAATCCTGAGAATGTTGTTCTCTAATAATACTTTTCCCATGACCTAGTAAGGAAATTGTGCAGTTACTACCTCCTTATCTATTTTATTTTTAGACAAGTCAATGCACAGAGAAGATAATGTATAGGATTAATTATATGTGAACTATACACTGGCATTTTATTATTTTATTTCATACTGTAACTATAATGCCTTCCTATGATTATTGCAAAAACACTCTTTATAAAGTACCTCAAATGAAAAAACAGGGCTTAAACTTTCATGTCTCATGCCAAGGCTTGTGAAATCAAAAAATATGGGAATACCATTATTTTGATTTCTTTAGAAACACATTGGCTTTCATTTCTTTAATTTTCATCAGAATTTAAACTTCTAAAGGATGTGATGTTTGTGGTCCTTTACATTGTGTCATTAGTCAGAGTCTGTGGACACTTGTGGTTAGTTTCATGAAGTCCATTTGTTAGACAGTATGAAGCACAGTACAATTAGGTTATGTCAGCTAAAAAAAAAGGGCAAAATTTTATTCAAGTATTTTTTAATAAAAAACTGTCAGACTATTCCCTCTCCAGAGTTCATTCATGCAAAGAAAACAGCTAATATTTTAGACCCATACCTAATACATAAAAAAATAATAATTTCTAAATCTGGAGTAAGACAAATGCGGACACAATCCTTTGGGGCTTTGTTCCTGTTTCCTGCATAAAAGCTGTAATTTCTGTAGTATTCTTCCACCTCTTATTGCTTGTGTCTAGACATAAATTGACCATAAAACAATATTAATATTGTATATTGCCTCGGTTAAGAGTTTTTGTTTGGCATCAGGAAAGAACTTTGAACATTTTAATGGTACTTTCTGTAGCACAGTAGTCGTGAATGAGTTTATTTTAATGTTGGAGTAAATTGGTTACTGAAGGTATTTTTATTATGCATCTCCTTGTAATTTCTGCCAAATAAACAAAATATTCCTCAGATAATTGGCCTATTAGTCTGTCACTTTCTAACTATTTTTTCTATGCTGAATTAAAGGGCCCATAAATCCTAAATTCTTTATTAGCTTGCTGACTTTGCAGAGTTTGATGGTAAGTAAACTGGCATAGCATTAAAGCTCCTTATTGAAGGAAGACAATATGTCTTTTTGTATCGACTTCTGCATGATTCAATTTTCACTAAGTATCACCATGACCTTTATAACAGCACTGTGAACTTTAAAAGCCAGTTTGTGTGTGGTGGTTAACTTGCTCTTGTATAAATTGGTTCCACAAATGATGACCTAGCCTGTCCAGATTTGATAAATATGCAGCCGATAGTCCAATAATGAATTTAAAAGGTCTTCAAAAATGCTGAAGGCAATAATTAAACATTTTCAGAAGGGGTATATTAATGGGGTTAATTAGAGGTAAATGATTTTTTAGTTCAGTTTGGAAATTATTTCAGATTTTTTTAAAATGAATGATGTTTCTTCTCTACATAAAAAAGAACCTCTTCAAGCCCTGAAGTATAACTTTGAAGTCTTAAAATCTTGTAACTAAATCAAACATAAGATATCTCTTTCTATCACCACAAATATTGCTTTTGACTCTAACATTGAACTCCTCTCTGTGGTATCTGAGTGCTCATCTGCTGCTTTTTCCTCATACAGATGGTATGGATACATCAGAATTCTGCAATGCCAAGGGGACTTGCTTTAATACTGCACTGGGTGTTCAGGGCTGATATTTGCACAAAAAGGTAAATCAGTATTGATTAGACCTGAATTTGTGATCCAGGTATTCAAAGATATGAGGTGCAAATGTCATTCCTGCAATGTTTGTATGTCTCCAGGAACTGTTGTATAGTATAGACAAAAAAAGGTATCACCATCAATGTAATAATTAGATGATGACTCAAAATCATGTGCAGATAATTTCCACTTTAATTTCACTCTTAAATAGACATTTTCAACTATTTTTCTTTTTTTTCTCTCTCTCTCTCTCTCTATTTTTTTTAAATGCAGGATGTTTTTTGTTTAATTTTACATTTAGTTTTTGTTTTACTTAAGTTATTACTAAGACAGGCAAATGACTTAACCATGCTGGAACAGAAAACCTACAAATGGGATCCAAACTTCATCAGAGTTCTTACCTCTCACATGCATTGTAAATCCAAACATTCATGCAAAATACATGGAGGTATTATTTCTGGATATGTTAGGAAGAGAGTGAAAGACAGTTGTGTAAGCAAAATAAATTTCCATCTGTACTGCAAATTCTCTTCGTAAGTCTCACATAGTTTGTCAAGGTTTACTTCATGAAACAGTTGCAGTGCCTGAGGTTTAGTGGTAATGTACAAAATGTTTTCTTTACTACTGGGCTCCTGACATGTAAAGAGCATTTCTTAAATTTTTGTTGAATTCAGAATAAATCTGAAATGTGATTTTTCTTTTCATTCTGCCTCCCTCTTATTCCTCAAGAATATACAGGATTAAAAACAGCCCTGTCTTTGAAATAATAAGGGTCTCTACAGTAGGACTATGTGATTTATGCCAGGCAATTAAAATCAATTCCTAACGTAAATGAAGCACTAAAAACTGAACTGCTCAACACACTGGGCTGTTGAGCACTGTGTGGTAGATTTTATTATACCATAAGTGCTTTACTAAACTGTAAAAAGGAGAAGGTAATTGCTACATACAACTAATATATTCAATTAGGTAAGGATAATGTTTAATAGAGCTTTTTGTTGGTTTCAGTTGCAACTTGTGAGTTCAAAAGAGAAGCTGGAGTTGGGGAATTTCAGGATGCAAAGTGCTCTAAGCACGACATAAGCTTCAACAACATGGCACCAAAGCTATCTTGCAAGGATGTGGTTAGTGTGTGCTTCTGCACAGGCTGAGTGGGATGGCAGTCCTTAATCCATATTGATTCACTCTGATAACTGGGATAACTGAAGGCTGTTACAATGTGTTGAAAGAGTGCATATTTTTCCCAGCCTGCGGCTCCTTAGACACAATCACGTCAGGCTGTCTGCACCCTGAGAGTAGATCCAGGAAAGTTTCTAATTTTTAAGATAAGACATGAGAACAGCCAAATATGATCACAAATTGTTACAGCAGCTGCATCATGCAGAACTGAAGTGTTATTTTCTTATACCCCTGTGCAGCTTAGTGAAGGCAGATTTCTCTATTTAGCAGCTATTTGCACAGAATCACGTAGTGCTATAGGATACCTGGATGGATGTACCCTGGATATTTCCATGCATATTAACAAGACAGATTCCCCAACATAAGTATCTGCTGAATCGTTGTCTAGAAGTACTGCTGAGAACCAGGCACTGGAGATCACAAAAGATCTGTTTTTGAGAATTATTTTCTCAGGGCTGGCTAAAATCTGCACAGAAAAGCCCCAAGGAGAGAGGAATATCCTTTTCTTGTCTCTTTTTATTTCAGTTTTATCTCCTTTCTAGCTACCAGTATTTACAGGCCAGTCAGACTCCCCATCTTCCTTAATCCAGCATCTCTAAGGAGCAAGAATATCTTTCCTGTTAAATTTCACAAAAAGCTAGCATTTTTTTGGGAGCTGGCAGTCAGGGGTACTGCCTGGCAGCTTACACTCAATTCAGTTTGGTACTTTAGGATTTTTATCTCCTCTTCCTCCTCTCATCTTTCTCATTTCTGGCTTTCACCTTAAGCCTGAGGGTTTAATGCTATTTGATTTGATAATAATGAAGAAAATAAATTAAGAACATATACTCACAGCAAAGTAGTGCATGCAATAAACCCATTTGTCTCTTTAGGACTAATTTTTCAATGGTCGCTGATAGGATGCTTATATAACAACAAGTGCAATTTATAGCATTTCCTCTGGAAAGATCCAGATAAAATAAGACATGAGGCCAGCTTCCTTTCCTTTTTTTTTTTCCTTTTTTTTTCTTTTTTTGGTTGTAGTTTTTGTTGAGTTTTTTTGGTGCCTTTTTTTTTTCTAAAAGTTTACCTATTATTTGGGTTATATTGTTCACTTGAGGATATTAAAAAACGCAAAAAGAGTAACAGTCTTTGTTGCTTTGTGTGCAGAAGTTTTTTGCATATTACAAATTATGACAGCTGAGTCCAAAATATGCCTGATTTACTTTTAAAATCTGCTTTCAGGTGATGGTTCAGCACAAATGAGCTGATTCTTAATTATCAATATTTCTCAATTTAGGATCTTTTTCTTACCATAGAAATTCATGTGTGTCAGTGGAGCAAGGTGTTAGTCTGTTTTATCACCCTGTCTATTGACAATTCGAAGGCATCCTGGTGATGCTGATGGGGAGCAGTGCCTCTGTTCTAAAATTGGACTCAAGTAGCAGAAGGTCTCTTGCAGCCTTCTTGCCCTGGAAATGCCAGACTATGAGTTGGATGTCCCTCAAACTGCCTGACAGAGAAAGCATTTCATTCCTGACCAGGCAGACTGTGCAGTCAAAGCATTCAGCAGAGGGGGGAAATCAAGCACTGAGCATGAGCTACTCCCTGCCTCCCACAAGGTTATCCTTTTCTAGCCAGTTCATTTCCAAGATATTTTTATTCAATGTCATTCTCCTCCTCCACCAAAAGTCTGGGTCTCAAGCCAAAAATTCAGTGAGTCCTCTACAGTCTGCTCCAATAGGCACAACAATAACCTAGTTAATAATGTTTTCGATGACAGGAGTGCTGCTTGCCCATGATGGTTATGGCACCTAATGCCTTGGAGAAGTCAGGGAGGCTTAAAGAAGAGGGGTGTGTTTTTCACCTTGAAAAGATTTCTTGTGTGAGAAACTCACACCATTTCAACTCTGTGAGATGTTTCAGGCTTGTCTCTGAACTAGGATGACTGGTGTTACCTGCATGATATTTGAGGCAATATCTGGGAATTAGTTATGTTTTATTGGCAACTGTGGCCCTGCTTCTTGCTGCCACACCTGCTGGTTTCTGCTCTGTTACTGTCAATTCCAGAAGGCCCCCATTGCAGATGAGTCCATAGGTGCTGTGTAACAGCTTCTGGCAAAGAATGCAGTGAGTGCTCAGGCTCCCCATCACTTCTGTCTGGTCCCCTCCAGCCACTCCACCAAGTCTTATGGAAGCACAGACACTGTGATTAAGGATGGTAACGTAAGCAGCAGTGCAATGAAGGCCTCTACGTCATGTCAGGGAAATCAAGTGCACATTTCTGATGTACATTTTGTTAAATCTGTGTCTAATTAGTTATTTTTGACTTGAATAAAGTGTACTGATCTGACCAATCTTTTTTCTTGTCCAATGCAGGCTTTTGAGTACCAGGGGACACAGACTTTGAATATCTGTCTCAGCTCCTTTCTGCAAAGGCTTTGGAAGGGGCAGCAGGGCTGAGGCCAGGCTGAGAACAGAGATCCACACCCCCACAGACTGCTTATTCCAGGCTGGAGTGGGACAGCAGGAAGGTCATGTAGAAACCACTTGTTCATAACAGGCTGAAACAGGATTCAAACTCATGGTGAGACAACTTTTCCAGGCATCTCTAGGCAGGGGAACTAAAGCAGTCCCACAAATCCTTACTAGAAGGCATTGCTGCTCCTTGACCTGCTTCTTTCCTCCCTCTCTGAGGCTTGTGGGGAGCAGGGACAGGCACACAGAGGAAGGAGGGAGTGTAGAGGGTGGTACTTTCAGCCTTCATTTCTTTTATCAGAAGCAGCATTTTGTTGGATACAGGAACGAGTGCTAGTAGGAAGGTAGGAGAAGGGTCTGTCTAAGAGTGGGACTTTGAAAATGAGCTTCTGCAGCAGGGAACCTGAACTTGGCTCTGTACCTGAACTACCTCTTCTGGAGAAAGAGATGGAGGGAGGAATGGAACATGAAATAGTCTGACTCCGAATTGCAGTCATAATATAGTTGGCCTGCTTACTGCTGGCAGCAGTAAGCTCTCATTTCATAATGTGAATTCAAAAATCTCTGGAGAGGTTATCACTTTCTCAGACAATTACTTTATATGTATAGATACAGGAGAAATATGTATTTCAATAGAATACACATATTCCTAGAGTTTTACAAGAAGGTTGTTAATTATTTTTGAAAGGAAAAAAGCTATTCTTCCACACTGTAGAAAAATATGTTTTATTTTTCATTCTCCAAGACTTTGCTAGCGCACAAAACGTTATTCTTCTCTCAGCATCCAGGTTGTCCATGTGATGACAGTAAGCAGCTGATTATCTCCGTTTGGTAATTATTTGTCTTTGCTACTTGCTCTGTTTTCATGGGAAAGGGTTCAGTAAAGTGAATTTTCAAGTGTAGTAGCCCAGGATTTTCTTTGTACATGAAGAGGGAAACCAGAGTCCTGGGTCTCCATGGATAATGGTGCAAGAGCTAGGGATGAGTGTCTGACAGAATAGGGCCAGTAGTTTTAGGGAATGGTAAGCAGAGAAAATGGTGGTATAAATGAAAATATGCTTGCATATACATTTTGAAATGAGCTACTATTTGATCTTATATCAGAACCACTGTGCTTACAAATAAGGGATTATTTTCATATTTAGCAGAGAAATGGTCTTTTATGTCAGTTGACTCCATGCCCTGTGTTTAAGATGCCGCAAAGCTAGAATAGTTGTTTTTCTAGAGTCATAGAGCAGTACACGTTTCAGCACCAATTCAGCTTAGGACAAGAAGCTAAAGTAATGCTAGTCTGGAAGTTAATATACCCAATAGTATTTTCCCTTTGTAGTCAGAGTTTGGTCTGTGGAGTACCAACTCTTTAAACTTAGTTACAGTTTAAGTCCATTTGGAAAGTAAGAAATATATTCTTATATATCTGTGAAAGTCATCTGACAAGAAACCCAAGCATTTGGTTCTCTGATGTGAAAACTGCAATATTTTGCACAGTTGGAAGGTAATAGTAAATGTCTTTCCTTTTGGACCATTTCTCAGCTCTATAGAAGCATTAGTTTTTCTGCACAAAGGGAAAAATTGATGTTGCCATAAAATGAGACGTGAAAAAACTCCTTTTGGATTTCTGCAGGGAAAGGGTTGTGCTTTTTTCTGTTGGTACATTCAGACACAAACTGAAAAAGGCCAAGTGTAGGGGAAGGAGGTTAAAACAAAATTTAAAGTACAAAAAAATTAATAGATTGGGTGAGTGTGGAAAAATTGTGACAGACTATGTAATTAAAAAGGCTTATTTACCTTCTTCTCTGTGACCAGAAGTATAGAAAGCCCAAAGGGAGAAGAAGTGGAATGAAAAACAATATTCTGTTAATAACCCAGCTGGTACAGACAAAGGAAGTGTCTGTGAGACAGAGCAGAGGGGAAGTGGGAGAACACTGCCTGCTGTCTCTATGTTTTCTAGTAAAAACTTAGCAGAATATTATGCCTATATGCCTTCTAACTCCACATTCTGGGGAGATGCTGTCAGCACCTTTCATGACCCCAATGCACTTTGAGTCTCAGCCCCAGTAGGTCACTAGTCACAGTATGCTTTTGGTGGACATCTTGTCTCCCAGGGAAGGTACAGAACTTGAGCCTTTCGTTCCTTTCCTTTCATATCTTTGAGCCACAACCTGTTCCCTGAAGTCATTGTTGTCACAGGATTTCCTTTTAGTGACCACAAACTGCATTGCCAATTGCACTTTTTGCCACCAAGCAATTCTTAGTTTTCTGCAGCCAATGGAAAGTGTGTTGCTAACAAGGACTGTAAATGGGTGCAAATAATTTTGCTTTTGCAGCCTAAAAGATCTGAAAATGCTGAGGCAGCTTCCTATTGTCAGAAGCATATTAGTGATTGATTTCTGTTCAGGATTAACTGTGCAGCATACCGAGATAAGTTCCTTCAAGAAAAGTCTGAAGTTAGATCTAGTCTTTATCTAGATCTAAATTCTGATACACTGGGATTGCCTTCTGTTTACAACTGGACAGCAGATTTATCCAGACAATGAGGTAGAGGTGGAACTGAATAACCTAGTTATTATAATAGGAATCTGTTATGTCATGTAAGGTCTTCAGCAGCCTCCTTATAGTATTTTTCATGGTGAATGTGTATGGTTGAACACCATCCATCTGTATGGACCTAATGGTGATCAGGATATGGAGTCTACTGGAACATCTAAGGAAAAGCAGCAAACTGAAAGGCAGCTAGCGTGGTTTCCCAGGTTGTGTTGACTTAAACAAACATGGCTGTTGCATGGAGTTACCCAGTGCTTTTGGAGGATAAAATGCACATATGGACATCCTTTTCCTTTGATGTTCATTTTACAGTCTCCTTCAAGTGGGCACCAAAGTTTGATGGCATTTTCGGCATACTTTTAAATAGATTGAAATGACTCTGAGCCACTCCACTGTAAAATCTCCACAGTTTGGAAAGGCATGGGGCAATCCTGCTGAAAGCCAGAAAAAAACCCCAGAGAACAAAGAACAGCTACAATAAATAATAATGTTCTGGAAATAAATTACCAGAAAGACTGAGAGCTTGCCACCATAAACATTATTTTACAGGAAATGACAGTTCCTTGAAAATATTGAGCATAATTCTCTAAGGGAGAGAGAAAAACAACAAACCCTTTTCAATTTTAGAATTGCCAATGATGTCAAGGCTAAACCATTTCTGTCTTGTGATCTTGACTAGAGGGTCTCTGAATACAAGTGCATCAACAATATAAATGTAACTCTTCCTGTAACACTGGATCCAGAAGCTCTACTCTGAGCATTGCCTTTACAGTGTGACTGCTGATTATGTGCTATGGTTTAACCCCAGCTGGCAATGAAGTACCATCTTGATGCTCACTTATCCTCCCTCAGTGAGATGCATGAGAGAATTGGAAGGGTGAAAGTGAGAAAACACATGGGTTGGGGTAAAGACAGTTTAAATGTAAACCAAAAGCTCTGCATGCAAGCAAAGGAAAACAAGGAATTCAATCACCACATCTGATGGGCAGGTCTTCTCCAGTTCAGCCTTCTCCAGGACAGCAGGGCTCCATCACACTTAACAGTAACTCGGGAAGACAAACACCTCTTCCTTCTTCTTCCCCCAGCTCTATATACTGAGCATGATGCCATATGGTATGGAATGTCCCTGTGGCCAGTTGGGGTCAGTTGTTCTGGCTGTGTCCTCTTTCAGCTTCCCATGCACCCTCAGCCTTCTTGCTGGTGGAGCAGTGTAAGAGGCAGTGAAGACTTTGACTCTGTGTAAGCCCCGCTCAGCAATAACTAAAACATCCCTGAATGACCAACACTGTTTTCCTCACAAATCCAAAACATGGCCCTATACCAGCTGCTGTGAAGAAAATTAACTCTACCCCAGCCAAAGCCAGCACACCAAATTAGCAGCTTTTGAAAAAGTCTTATCCCAGCAGCTCATCCAGGAGAGACATAGCTGCACTGAAGTATTTGCTTAGGATTTGAACTTTATAACAAAGACACCATCCTTTCAAACATGCTACCCACATGTCTTAATGGTTGGCACCTGCATTTTGGGTTGGAGATCTGTGACTGGGAGCATGAGAAAAACAGGAAGAGAAGGGCAAAATGGTGTAAACCCTGTCCTCTCCTTTTGAATAGGCAGCGTGACTGCAGAGGTCATGGATGGTGTGTATCCCTACTAGTTATGGGATGTCTTCAAGGTGACACATATTTACAGAGACTCAAAAGGACTTAACTATTTCTGCTCCACTTTGTTCATTTGACAACGATTTGCTTCTAAAAATTGGTTCTGAACCTTGAGGGTGCTGCTTGTGCCTTTCTTAAGCTCAGGTAAGAGTCAATGCTGGCACCAAAAAGCTCTGCATTAACTTACAAACTTGTGTTTTACTGAATACTCCAGCCTGTATGCAGGGAAAGTATAAAACAATCATGGTTCATGGGGGCTTCATTTCCTATTTTTAGACTACTTTACACATACATTTTTGAGTAAGAGAACTGTCACTTCCCCCACAACAGTGGTTTAATAATTGTACAAACCATTCGATTACTGTCTTCGCACAAGCTTTTCTTGCAAGAATGTAGCTTCAAAACAAAGCAAAGAGAGGAGAGAATAAGGGAAAACATTTTTATAATGAGAAAATGAAGGTCATTCCTCTTATCTAGTCTGTTTTCATCTGCAAAGAGACATACATCATATGTTTAATAAAATATTTGATTGCAGCCAAAGAGTTCCTATCCTCCTCTGCTGGTTTTAGTTGTGTGCACTGCTCGCAAATAAGCAGAAGTCACTTTGGTATGGGTTTGGGAAATAGTGAGAGAAAAACAGCCTGGAAGCCAACCACTGTAAAGTTATTATTATTTATTACACTGTGGATATTTTAAAAATAGATAGAAGACATAGAAGAAGAGGAAAGATTTTTCCCTTCCCAGGTATACTTTTAAACGCAAGGGACAGGAGGAGTCAAGGGAAGTTCAAAGAGGAGATCTCCCTCTCTTGTCCCTAGAATGATAAAGCTCAGCTCTGCCTCCAATTTCCATGACATCTGAAGCACCTCATTCTCAATCTGTGCTCAGAATGTTTGAGTCAGGTATTTCCCTGTAGTTCTGGAGGCACCAGTGCCAGGTCTAGGCCAAAGTCTACATCCAGTCTCGTCTTAACTGTACCTGGTTACCTGTGCTTTGATGTCCAAGGGAGGTAGTGACAGTGGAAGTCTGGGTTACTCTTTTGTGTCTTATAACTACAAAAGCCAACATGCTTTTATTACCTTGAATAAGGTGATAAAATATAAAGTTTAGCATTATACTCAACTACCTTCCTCTGTATCCAAATAAAAATACATCAGATAATGACAGTAGAAAAATGTTTTTTAAGATATATCTTTATATATTATATACAAAAATATGTCTTTGTATTTCTAGGCTTTGTTTTACAATAAAGAGAAGCCTTATTTTTCAGATTTCTTTTGCCACTCTTTTGGAGGAAACCTGTACAAAAAAACCATAAAATTGCTACTGATATTTAAAATGTCACTGTGTTTCATAACTGTTCAGGATTTCCTGAACATGCAGAAGAAGTGAGAAGAATGCAGGTTACATGATGAGATTCACTAGTGGGATGTTGACAATTTGCAATTTTCCGAAAGTCCATGCAGAAGTCAACTTCATGGTTTTCCTGGTGAAATACACACTTGGATAATGTTATGCCACTTAATTTTTCATTATAAGACAGTTTGCTCAAAATTCAAGAATTCCCTTAATGTCTAAACTAGACTGTTTGTAGCTGTGGGCTGATCAAAATCTGTTGCCCTCTACTGTTTCATTTTTATCATACAATCATAGAATGGCCTGGATTGGAAGGGTCCTTTAAGATGGTGTTACTCTCTGAGTAAAATAGTTATTCCTAACATCTAATCTAAACCTACCCTCCTTTAATTTAAAACCATTGTTCCTTGTTCTGTCACTATTTGCCTGTAATAAAAACTCCCTCTCCCTCCTTTTTGACAAGCCTCCTAAAGGTACTGGAAGGTCATTATGAGGTCCTCTCAGAGCCTTTTCTTCTCCAGGCTGAACAAGTCCACTTCTTTCAGCCTGTCTGCATAGGAGAGGTGCTCCATCCTCTTCATGACCCTCTCCTGGATCCAAAACAAATCCACACCATTCATGTGCTGGGGATCCTGGAGCTGGACACAGCAGTCTAGGTGGGGTCTCACCAGAGGGGAGTACAGGACAGAGTCACAGAATCATCTCCCTCAACCCTCTGGCCATGCTACTTTTGAAGCAGCCCAGGAGTGCACTCTGGGCTGTGAATGCACATCTTCATGTGAAGCCATGTCCAGCTTTCCATCCACAAGAATCCCCAAGTCCTTCTCACCAGGGCTACTCTCAATGAGTTCCTCTCCCAGTCTGTGCTCATGTTTTGGATCTTCCCCTACCCAGATGCAGGACCTTGCACTTGGACTTGTTATACATAATGAGGTTCTTGTAGGCCCACTTCACAAATTTGGTCCCCCTGGATGTTATCCTGTCCTTCAGGGCAGTTGTGCCAACTGCACCACTTTGCTTGGTGGCATCTGCAAACCTGCTGAGGGTGCACTTAATCCCACTGTCTGTGTCACTGATGAATATATTGAGGAGCACCTGTCCCAGGATAGGTGCCCCGAGGGACACCACTTGTCACCTGCCTCCACCTGGACATAGAGCCATTGACCACAACTCTGTCTGTGTCCATCCTATGCCAATCCCTTACCCTGCTAGTTTCTCTTTCCTGCTGAGCTGAGTTGACCCAGGAGAGGTAAGGATGCAAAGGGCTTGATTATTCAGCTCAATGTCAGGTATCTCTTGGGCTGTAGACTCATGAACTCATGGCAAAGAATGCTACTGTGCATAGCAGCTGGGTGGTCCTGGCGTCCCTTCTGTCCCTACTGCCCATAAGGGCTTGTAACGGGCAGGTAAATCAGGAATGGGCTCACTACCGGCCCTCCAGTCTTGCTAAGGAGTTAATGGAGGGAGAGATGAGTACCTTCAGAGAAAAATCCAGCACTCTCAAAACAGGAGCTCTGGATTGCCCTCTGGAGGTGCCTGCAGCTCTCTGTTAACTTTATTGGAAGACTGGGCTCCTATGTTGAGTGGTGAAAATATCCATGTATGTAAAACATCACAGACCTAATCTTTACATGCACCCACTTCAGCTATCAAACGGGCCACCATGAGTGCAGAAATTTGTGCAGCAGCAGAATCACTTGAGAGAGAGCAGTGGTGGAGATTCTTTAACCCTGCTACTGGTACTGTGCGTGTGAGAGCTAGGAGCCACCCACTTGAGCCTTGTAGAAGTAGAACAGATGCAACAGCTTGTGCTTGTTTTGCCTGTTTTGTGCCACTTGCAGATGGGTGCCTCATGGATCTGTCACACATGAATTACCTAAATTTCAGTACACCTCTCTGTAGAATAAAAAAAAAAAAATCAAAACCAAGAAATTGGTTTATGAATCCCACAATGTCAGATGGCTGCATATCGGCATTTGAGTCTGATCCTGTGGAGCTCCTTGTGTTTCTTTGGAGATGGACTTGACCCTATTGTGAATAATAAACCTACTCAGAAATTGAATCCACTTGCCATATTAAAATACACATTTCCTTTTCTTTTCTGGGAAGATTAAAAACTGTGTTCAGTTACTATTGTCTTATTTTCAGATTGATTATATTAATTTTAAGTGCAGAAATAAAATTAGAAAAGAAAAATATGGAATTAATGGGAAAACATAATAGAACTACCAGGGTAGGTACAACTCTTCAATATGTAGCTGAAAGGATCTATTCCCAGAATGAATTCCAAAACTTTTTGTTTGTATTCTCTCTCTATAATGCAAATGGAAAATTTTATATCTCTGGATAACAACCCAAAAGACTCAGAAGCAGTGAAAGAAACCTCACTATCTACCAAAAAGTAGGTCTGCATCTATAATTCTGTTTGGTGTTTTTGTTGGAGTTTGTTTGTTTATTTGTTTGTTTTAGATTTACTTAATGAAGCAGGTTTGGCAATGCTTATGAGTGATCTGAAATATTTTCCATGTTCACATGCCTGCATATAAATCCAAATCTTAGTTTGTAGCCCAGACCATAGGAACATGCTCAATCACAGAATCACAGAATCATTTAGGTTGAAAAAGATCTCTGAATCACTGAGTCCAATGACCAACCCAGCACTGCCAAGTCCATCATTAGCCACGTCCTTAAGTGCCACATCTACACATTATTGAAATACCTTGAGGAATGGTGACTCAATCACTTCCTTGGGCAGCTTGTTCCAGTGCTTTACAGCTCTTTCAGTGAAGAAATTTGTCCTAATATGCAATCCAAACTTCCCCTGGCATAACTTGAAGTGGTTCCCTCTCATCTTAGAGAGAAAATGATATTTAAATTATTTGGAGGATTTTTAATTAGTATTTTCTAGTCTCTAATACAATGCTGAATCAAACTGGTATCTGAATGAATAATTATAATTTAGCTTTTTCTGAAAAAAAATATTAATTAGGATTCCATCCTGTGACTCCAGTCATGTGCTCTGTAAGTTCTGTATGCTTTTTCCAGTGGTGTTCTTCCTCTTAAGAATGAAGGTAGTGTTTTCCTAAGACAAACTTGTCCATGAAACAGAGGTGTTACAAGCAGCAGTATTACAGGTTTTCTCACACTGGTCAATGTGCTTGTCCTTTGCCAGTTTTGACTCCTTGGCTTAGAGGAGAGTTTCCAGTCCATGCCTGCTGTCCAGGTCACAAATGATGTGTGCAGGGTGTCTGATCGTTGGTGTCAGCATGAAGCTCTCTCCTTACTTCAGCAGTAATTATTTTGAGCTGCTGAATTTTCGCTACTAAAGAAATATCTGTCTGACCACAGAAACAGTCCCTGTAAATGAATTAACAGGGATTTTTTTTCTTTAGCTGTCAGGCAGCATGTATGACTTTCCTGTTTCACCTCAAAGTAGACTAAATTTCTAGCATTATTATCTAATTATAGCACTGATCATTGAAATGGAAAATTATTGTTGCTTGGTTTTCCATTGTTGGTTGCTCTGGGGACAGCTATCTCTATCCAAACCAGTTAGTTTTAAAAATTATTTTTAAATGTACACTGCTGTATGGAGCAACCCTGCCAGGTAATTCTCTCTTTTGCCTGGAGGCATTCATCAGCTGACTTCCTCTCCTCGACTCCCTCTTTCCTACCCAATACAGGGATGAAACACACATATGTGTGTGAACATAAAATCATTTCCTTCCCTTCTCTTCCTCATTTTGTCCATCTCCTCCCGGCCAAGTTTATCTTTAGTTGCTAAGGGCTTCCCTCAAGGAGTTTATCCTGGAGGGACAGGAAAAATGAGAAAAGGGGAGAGGTGAAGGACTATGTGTCTGCTCACCCATCAGGTGACCAAGCTAAGGCAAGCCAGCAGTTTTCCTAGCAGAACCTTGCTGGAGCCACTTCCCTTTCTAACCTGAAACTCCCATCTGCTTCCTTAAATTTCAGATCCTCCTGAGGCTGATCTAAGTCTAAGGTGTGGTAACAACACACAGAGATTTTATAAGGATTTTTTCAGTGTCCATTTAAAGGGAAGCAGAAGGAAAGGTTGTACTTCTCCAGCCCTTGCAGAAGAGCAAGTGTTGCAATAGCAGGCCCTGCAGAAGGGCAGGGAGGGAGGAGGTGGAAGACATGGGGAAACTGAAAAGAAACATCAGACTAAAAGCATTTCATTGTCTCATTTGAAGGGAGTGCTCCTGCCCATGAATCCCACATGAGTGAAGAAGAGTGTTTTTGGGGCATGTCTGCCCACTGCCCAGCATTCAAGAATGATGCATTTCAGTCACAGTCAGCCTAAACTGGATCTGAGCTCGGGACCTGCAGGAGTTAGTGGTTTCCTTGATTGCGTAGGCTCAGCTGGAGGAAGGAGCTCTGGCTGAACCACAGGTGTGTGAAGTGATGTCTGCTCTTACACTTGGGTAATAAATCTATTATTTTACTGCTATACTGCTCCACAGAGAATTCTGGTTTTGGTCCAGCATGCTTTGGGATCTGCTCAGCCTCATTTCTCTTTGCTCTGCACTGATGCCGCCAGCAGAAGTGTAAATTGCGACGATGCTTCTGTGATGCAAAGGCCCAGCTCTCTGCCAGCTACTAATCATATCCCCACCACAGCTGAGCATCGCTGACAGCCATTTCCAAAGGAGTCCAGATGAATGTTTCATGTTTTAATTCCAGCTAGCTTAGATCTGCTGCATAGCTCTGTGTTTACAACAATCTGGGCAGGATTGTCTTGGAACCACTTAATTTCATCACACACTTTATGATCGCGTTGCAATTATCCATAGTCAAACCAATGATCCTGATTACAGAGCATGACCAGGAATAATTGTGTTTCATGGCATTGTTCCCACTTGTTTAAAAACTTTCTTTAAAATATGCTTGAAATGTAAATGTATTAAACAGATACTCTAAATGGTTAATTCTTTTTCAGTGATGAGTAAGAGATTTATTACTTGTGGTTTTTTCAGATTGAAAAATACTCTTGACAAGTTCTGCTCTTTCACTAGACAGTTTTAATTATGTGTCATGCCTGTTTGTTATTTGACAGTCTGCTCATGTTTGGACTCTGAACACGCAGGGGAAAATTCATGGTTCCTTGTTTATTGAGCAATCCTTTTAGACTTTGCACAGTCTTTTCAAAAATTCTTCTAATTTATAATATGATTACATGCAGGCAGGTAAACTGTGCATGCTGAATTATTATTATTATTATTATTATTATTATTACTACTACTACTACTACTACTACTACTACTGAGGTGTGGTGCTTAAAATTCCCTGGCATAATTTGCCTCAGCAATCACAGAAATCTGATAATCTAATCAGAAAAATATTAAAAGTACTAATAATTCTGAACGGTTGAAGCTATCCTGTATTTCTTATTCCACCAAGAAAAGAAACTTGCAAGTAAAAAAACCAGTGGCTCACCTACTGAAGCTTACTTGGTTTGAAAGGAGCAAACACAATTTGTGTATAATTGCTAAAATTTTCTCCTGATATGAGTAAATTCACAGGTATGTAATGTCACAGCTCTGTGTGAAGATCCCACTATCTTCCACTTTGTCTCCACCTATGTCTTCCATATCTCATTTAATGGATATGGAAGAGCTTTCCTGTGTCATTGATGCAGCCACACAACGATGCCAGAGGAGCTTGGGGATGTGTTTGGTTTCCATCCATTCAGTGAGCAGCTCTGTTTTGTTAGTCCTCTGCACTGACCACTAGAAAATGCCTTTTCCCTCAGCAGTCATAATGAATGTTGCTCCTAATCAGATTAACTTCTGATCTATGTGGAAGTGTTCAGTAGTCAAGAACAGGTTTCCTTTGTAACTGCATCAACAGTCAATGACACTTTGAGACACCATTTGGATCCTGCCAGGTTTGATGTCCTACAAAATGTGATGAAACTAAAACTGCTTGAGTACATGACAGATCTCATCTTTTGGTTTTACATTATTCTCAAGTAAAGATAATATCATTTGGATGCTTCCTAATTGATCAGATTGCAAAACCCATCAGAACAAGACCAGCAATTAACAAGAGTTTCTATAAACAGGTATTTACTGAACAAGATGAAAGTTCTAGACAGACTCTTGAGTTGTGAACACTAACAAAGGCTAGGAGGCCAAATAAATCAGACCTTTGGTAATGCATCTGGTTTTAGAAAGTTTCTGCACACCCTGTGTCCAGTTCTAATGCATCTGAAATGAGTGGTGAAATTATGGATTAATGAATGGAAGATAATGGAGAAAATTTGGAGACTCCTAAGAAACTTTTCTGCTATGCTGGGGCAGCTGAACATTTTTAAGGATGCCTTCTCAGTATATATTTGAATGGAATGAATTTCCTTATTGTGAGGCAAAACAAGCTCATAATTTAAGAAGATAAAATAATTACTCACTACTGCTGGTACAGAGGAGTTAAACTTACTCTGAATCAAAAAATCAGTTTGAACTATTTTTTTTAAAAAACTTTTCTTGAACCAGAACTGAACTTGAATATTATTTTGAAGTTTAACTGAACTTCATGCTGGAAGTGAACAATAACAGCTTCAGTCAGAGCTGAATGTGAACTAAGCTTGAAAACTGAATTGCTTGACTCCTGGTGAGCCACTGCAGGCTGCCCCTCCAGCTGCTGACAGGACTGAGCAGGAGGAGAATAGGTATGAGGAGTAGGATGTTTTCATGTGTTCTTAGGGAGCATGGATCAAGAGACATAACACACCAGTTAATCATCACTGCAAATGTTAAAGCCATTTCCTTCCCCACAGGTCCCCAAAGCAGGACTCTCATATTGTAAGAATAACAAATATAAAGCAGCACTGTACAGCACTGACTGCCCTGAAAAGGCTTCAGTAACTTCTCCTGCCTCTCAGTGGAACTTAATGCCTTGCTGCCTCTTTATATGGAAGAGTTTTATTTCTTCAGCTAGTTTAGCACAAATTTATGGAGCTCGCCAACTGTACAGATTGTGTGATCACATAATATATACACGTATCCATAGTCAAGCCCTTGTTATATTATTCAGAGTTTCCGACTGTTAGAACAAACGCATGAGTTCATGATTCAAACAGCCAAACAAACAAGAAAGCTCAGGCAATTAGAAGCTGTTTTTCTGAATAGCACTGTTTTGGACAGTCAGCTCAATAAAGTCAACTTCAGCCACCAATTTGAAATGATTCTATTCTACGTAATGGTAGAATGGAATCGGTGAATCAATACATTCTGGACTTTTTTTCCTCCCAGTAGCTCTCTTTGCCTCTGACTCTATTCACTGCCACTGATTTTGACTACTGGATGGAGTGGGGAACAACATTTTTCAAAAAAACCCCAAGTTATCCTCTTGTCACCAGAGAAGGTGACAAGATGAGGCAGAGCAAATATTTTAATGGCTGAGGTTTGTTATTTTATAAAAGTAAGGTCTTCCCACTCTTTATTAAGGCTTCATCAACCTCTTCAGTCCTAAAATGTTTTCACCTAAGGTGGGTGTTACACATCTGGGGGGCTGAGATCCTGGTAGCTGAAAGTAAGGGAAAGAAATGCTGGTAGGTGATGAGATAGCTACATCCACTGCTAGCACATTTACTGGATGCTGAAGGACTCACACAGTCTGGCAATTTCCTGTGGTTTGCAGAGGGAAAGAGGAAAACCGTGTGGCCGACAGTGTGATTTCAGTAAGTTTATGCCCTTAGGTAAACAAGCAAACCTCTTGTTTTATATTCAAATTTCTTTTATGTCACTTGAAAAAAAACTGGCATTTACTAAATAAGCTCCTGGTATTATTCCTAATCAATGTTCTCTGTTGGGTATACTTAATCCAACACACTCTTTCCCCATTAATTCAGTTTCTCTTTCTGTATTTTAGTTAGCCCTGCACTTTATTGCTTCCATGCTGGCTAAAGTGCCTCTCCAATTTTCAAGTTAATGCATTTATTATTTCTGTCAACAGCTGAGCTACAGAAGGGATACACGATTCTTGGTAAGGCTTCATACATCTCTTTATTCTTTTTACCACTCTGAGGCGCATGGTTGGACGATGGATGTTTCGTTGTTCTCTCAAAATTCTTTGTATGCAAACAGTTAACTCCCAGCAGTTGAGGGAAAGAGATGTTACTTAAACGAAAGACGTTTTAGCCAAAAGGTGGCACTGCGGCTGCATAGATTTTGCAGCAGATGAACAGTCTGATAAAATGTAAGGAGCCATGCAATATGTTTATTTAAACTCTTCTTTTCATACAGTGTGAATTGTAAGTATTGAAAACTGGCTAATTATTTCCCAAGCTCTAGCACAAAACCAATGCTTTCTGAATGAAAGAATTTGGTAACTACTATAAAGATAATAAACACTTCATCCTTGCTTTAGTGAATCTGAAAAACTCAAAACCAAAACAAAAAACAAGAAAACAAAACAAAAGGCCCCAGACCCGATCAATACCTGAAAATGTGTTGCCAAAGTGCACAGAATGTTTCAGCTGTGGATGTATCCTACACACAGACTACTATTAACTTCTGCTTTGTAGCCTCTAAGGCAAGGAGAGCTTCCCTGTGAACTTAACTTTTTTTGAGATGGATCCTGTGGTCTTAAAACAATGCTGGGATTGACTTTACTACAGGCTGATCAGACACTTCAGCAGATTAAGCACTTGCTGATCCTAGTGTTCTGTCACCTACAGATGCCATCACTAGGTGTATTCAGAAAGACTGATGTGCACAGAAACGTGTGCCAGAAGATTGTGAATCACACACCAGGCTTGGTTCATGGTCGAGATGTGTGGGTGAGCCACGCTGGGGCTGAGTGTGGGGAAGGAGGGAGCAGCCTCCACCGGCTGTGTCCTGACACCGAGCTGAGGCATCGCGTTCATCCTGCTGGGACAGGGCTTGCTTACAATCTCTGTTAAGACAGATAGAAGTTACATTTTAGCCCCATGCACTGCCCGCCAGCTGACTGTACCTCCTCCTAGGAGGACTAGGCTCTGGTGATAGGGTTCCTTTTACCAGACTCGTTAGGCACATGGAATTACTGTCTGTAGCTGATTCTTCTTAGCTCTCCTGAGCATTTTCATATCTGTATGTCTAGAGCTCTTTACTTCCCAAATATACTTGTATCAGATTCTGTTAGCATTATATTTGAATATCTGAATAATTGCCATTATCCATAAAACAAAAGTCAGATGTTTGCATGGCTCAATACTTGGCATTTGAACCCACCAAACACATAGTTTTAATTCTTTTCTTTAAAAGACCCTTTGTATTTTCCTGTGAGTCATGTTCATGTTTGCAATCATTTTTCTGTACTAGAAGGATATGAAAATACTTTCTTTTAGAAAGCATGGGAAAGCAAAATATGATTAAGTAATTATAGGAGTAAAAAAACCCCAAAACAAACATTCAAACAAGACCTCAAGAGCAAAACCTACGAGTCTTTACATTTGAAGTAAGACTGGATGAGGTCCTTCACCAGGAGGATGGGCTGAGAAATCATGTCAAGGACCACAGGGTCACTGCTCCTGCTTTCTCTTACCTCACATCTTTCACGGGAATGAAGTTACCCAAAGCACTGCCCCAAGGAAGAGGGTGTTCAGTCTAAACTTCCCTCATTTAAGTGTGAGGGATTGCAACACATTGCCAAAAATGAAACACATTTTTACTTGCATTGATAACAACGTTAATAACTTTCTATTTTACAGCATCACTATTTCAATCCCTCCTGTGAGGGTCATTCAGTACATACACAGGGACACATCAGCTGGGCCTTGAAGCGGTCCCTTTAAACCCGCAGCATTTTCTAACCAGCACTGTATTTTAAGGGGTAAAAAGCTTTCCAGAAAAGTCAAATACATTCCAGCCACCGGAGATCTATTTTTTTTCCAGGCGACAATTTTCTTGTGGACCTAAATGTGCTGCTGAAAGGAGAGGGGGAAGGGAGGGGGGAGGAGGAAGGGCGGGAAGCGAACAGATTAGAGAAAACCTTTCCCCAATCAAGAAAAAAAAACAAAAACCCCGTTAACTACAAAAATTTAAATGCAAGGAGAAAAATAAAAAAAAAGTTAAAATAAAAAAAAATTTGTTAACACCCCTTCCCCCAAAACCAAGACGAAAAGAAGCGTTAGGGAAAAGCGGCGAAGTTTTCAGGGCAGAGGGGGAGCCGGCGCGGTG